ATTTTGTCTCTCATAGTTGAGGTATACCTATGATGAAAATTACAGGCCTCTCTCATCTTTTTAAGTGGGAGAACTTGCACAATTGGTGGCTGACTAAATACTTTTTTGGCCCACTGTATAGGTTTGACATATTAGCCAGGTTGGAATTAAAAGAAAACCATTTTGAAAGCAATTCTCTATTCTTAGCTAAGAATAAGCCCCAGTGAGCTCAGTCATTCAAATAAGCATGTATTTTACTCCATTTAAAAAATGGAAATACTGTAACTGAAAGTATGAAACTTCAGTGTTTTTTAAACTGACTTTCTGTATTTTTTCCATTTGTCCTATAGACACACTAGCACTGTCCTCACACATTCCACATTTGGCTTGCACTGTCTATTGTATGACCTTAAAAGATTTGCCAGCTATGGTTCGCCTTTGGTGGAACAGCTGTGAGAAGCGAGTCTTCAACATTGTAGATAAATTTACAAGCAAATATGTTAGTGGTATACTGTCGTCACAAGAAATATCTTCTGTACAGACCAGTACTCAGTTGTTTAATGGCATGATGGTTTGTATCATCTTTTTATATGTCTTGGTGTGTGTGTGTTTGTGTGTATTTCATTGTGTGGTATATTTGACTAAATACAGTGATACAACTGATTTCTGAGCGTTGACTGGAAGCACTGGCACTGGAGGTGACCTTAGGGCTAATGTCAGAAAAACAGCAGTGAAATCATCTGCAACCTAAGCATTCTTCTATGAAGCACTTCTGTTCTAAGAAGTACTTAGGTTGTTTGCATTACTGAATAAAGTCTTGGAAAATATCTTACAATATATGCAGAAACCTAGCTATTGTTGGGTAGTGCTAGCAATGTAAGCAAGTGCACTGATTCCCCCCCCACACACACAAATAATGGATTACTGTATAGAAATAAATTCAAGATGACACAATAACAGTTCCATAGGTACCTATATATAGTATTTGGGATTATTTGATGTGTGTGCTCTATGAAAGGGCTAGACTCAATTAAAATAAAGCAGAAGATATTTATTAGTTAGAAGCTACATTCACTTATAAGAAACATTGTTATGGGGTACAGAAATTATGGGTGATAGAAATTTTGGTCCCAATTAGGGTCATTAAGCGAAGTCTTTAAAGTAAGCAGTAGTATCAAAACCTTGTTGCAATAATAGCAAATAGTAACATTTTTGTTTTTTACAGGTAAAAGCTCGATCTGCCACTCGAGAAGTCATTGCTACTTACTCAGTTGATGATATATTCATTGAACTGATTATACAGCTTCCCCCAAATTATCCTTTGGGCTCCATAGCTGTAGAGAGTGGGAAAAGGGTTGGTGTAGCAGTTCAGCAATGGCGCAATTGGATGCTACAGCTCAGCACTTACCTCACTCATCAGGTACTTTTTCATATAGTCTTGACTTTGAAAACACTGACATGGTTGAGTCCTTGTTCTATGTTACTCACAGGTTATGTAAGTTAGATCTGCTCTAAATAACAGGTACTTGCAGTACTTGAAAGGGAAAAAGATGCCCATGAGTCATAGAGGCACCAATATAGTACCTGTTGGCCAGTTTATAAAGTACTTACATTTCTTCCCAGATCACATAACTGATCCCTGCTGCTGTAACAGTATCACAGGAAAATACATATTTGGTTTAAGAAGTTGCCAACTCCCAAGACAGTTTTCCCTTCAAATCACAGTGTTGCAGAGACCTACTCAATTACTGAGTGTAGAAAGAAGAAGACAAGGCAGAAAATTATACTTGTCAACTTGCTTGGCACCTTCACAGTTTTACTATTTTTGAAGTTCCTTTAGGTTGAGCTTGGCTCCTCTTGATTTCATGAATTCGTCTAGTTTTTGACCTTAATTTTTTTTTTCAAATTTTGTTAACCCTCAGTTTAAATCTGTTCATTAATGTCTTTGGATTAATGAAAGGAGACAGGAGACAAATTAATTTGGACTGAAATACCTGTTGAGTGGAAGATTCTTCAGTCTGATTTCCACACCAAACACTTTCCTTTTAAACAACAGCAGTATTTCATAATTTAATTTAAATTATAAATTTAATTAAAAAGGTAACATTTCTTACCTACAGTTATTGAAGCTAAATTTCATAAGTAGACCAAACTGATTATTCAATACACAAATAAAGAAACCTTACTATATATTATATACATGCATTTACAGGACATTGTAAAAGACAAGATAGAAAATTGGGATAGAAATTTCACTGAATACTGCAAAAAGTTGAAATAATGCATTAATGGGAAAATGTCTCTCTTTAGAATGGAAGCATTATGGAAGGGTTAGCATTGTGGAAAAACAATGTGGATAAACGTTTTGAGGGTGTTGAAGACTGCATGATCTGTTTCTCAGTTATACATGGTTCTAACTACTCCCTCCCCAAAAAAGCTTGCAGAACATGCAAGAAAAAGTTCCATTCAGCCTGTCTGGTATGTATCTAGACTATATTTTTGAAGAAAAACAAGTCTGAAATGTACATGGCTTTAATGATACTAATAATAGTCATATCAATGTTTAATAAATAGCCTAAGAAAACATAGTTTATTTATATTGCTAAGTATGTAAAGGTATCGTATCTCTTAAAGCAAATAATGGGATCCTTTAAATTGAAATTATTTGCTGTTTTTAGAAGGGCTATGGAAACTCATGCCTCAGGTGGTAGACCTTTGATGTAGATCAGCACTTAAAGGAATCTGGCTTGTGAAAAAGAGTTGTGAGCATACTAGACTATTCTGTGAAAATACTTTACTATAAATAGGCACTTATAGTACTGTAGTAGGGACTAGTGGTGTGCAAAAAAAGGATATTCTTACTGCTGAATATTAAAGGAAAATCTATCTTTAGAGGTAGATTTAAAGACGCTGTAAGTATTCAAACTTGGCTAGCTAGCTAGTTTTTAGTATGAAATGCCAGATTTTTCTAAATATTTGCTTTCTGAATTCCTCTAGTACAAATGGTTTACATCTAGCAACAAATCTACTTGCCCACTTTGTCGAGAGACTTTCTTCTGATATATATGTTTCTGCTTCAGTGAACCTAAAGAAACAATTGAAATCATCATACTTGGACTGAGCAGTGAAACCTTAATTTCTTCACTTACTAATAAAGAGTTCAAACTAAAAAGTTTGTATGAGTATTATTTACTATCTTTGCATTAAAGTATTTAGATATAAAATGTAGAAATGAGTGACATGTAACAGTTTTTGATCTTGGGCTCAAGATGTAGTGTATTCCTGTCTTACATAACTATTCATAAGAAAGTCCTGTTGAGGTCAAAAGGTTTTTAGCAGCACGAAGAGCAATTTCCTGTAATAGTTTGCTCAGTTAGAGATCATTATTAGAATTGGTATCAAAGGTTCCAAATGAAAGGGATACATACACACGTACAGATACCCACAAATGGATCTGTGGCACAAATGCATCAAGCTGTCTTTTAGATTTGAAGTAGCGGCAAACAACTTTGTGAGCCGCCTAGTACAGCCTGTAGCAGTTCTTAGTACTGTAGTAGGGACTAGTGATGTGCAAAAGATTTTGAATTTAAACATTCAAGTTTGAAACCACTGTTCCAACCATATCTTAAGTATTCTGATTATTCAATAAGTATTCTAAACTTGAAACATTTCTAGTAAGGTTGAAACAGCTATTTCAACTTTAAACAGCTATTTCAAACTTGAAACAACTGTATTTACCTAAACATGTACCTTGCATTTCCCTGAAGTCGGAATACGCGACAGAAACAAGAGAGAATGAATTCCAAGGCAAGTCCATCATTCAGAATCTCTGAAACTCAAGATAAGCAACTTAAGACAATACTCAGGATCTCTCTCCTAATTACTTGTACTGACAGGACTGTAATGATGTTTATGCAATGTTTTATTTTACTTTCCACTTCAATGTTGTTAAAATTTTGGTTTTACAGACATGAAAATATACATATTCTTGAATTGATTAAGTAGCTAATATGTTAATGTGCACTTGTTGGCAGTAATTAGAATTTAATTTTAATTAAATTTAAATTTAATCCAATACAACATTTTAAAACAAAGAGTCCACTATATGAAGATTCCTCCAGAGGCCATCTTCAGGGTTTGTAGAATTTCAGTACTGAAAGATATTCCCTTCCTGCTTGTCTGGAAATTACTTTATTGCCATTTAAACCACATTCCTGCAGTATTTTAATAATTTCATCTGCAATTCAAAACAAGAGATTATCATCAGTTTAAAACAACAACTGGCCTTACTCACTGCTAACCTAACTGAATCTTGGGGAAAAAATGGCAGTTCACTGGAGCCATCTTCATGTGTTATATATATATGAAAGATCTTTGTATAATAAAAGGGAAGTTAGGTTATTTCTTTTGATCCCATTCTCAATGTCCTGTGCTGACCACAGCCCTGTATTTTCAGTGCAGGCTAAACAAGTTAATCTGTGCTAAATGTATGGATGCCATAAAAAGTCTCTGTGCTCCATTTCATCTTCATTATAATAAGTCTCTTGATTTGAAAGGACTTCTATGTCCTTTCATTGGTAGTATTTAATGCAGCATAGTAACACAGATAATAAATAATCCTGAGGGACAACCTCATCCCCATTACATTGACCTGTCCCACCCGGTCTGGCAGAAAAGGCATGTTGCAGATCCCATCAGTGAGAGAATGTCGACTGGTGGGTCCGAGGAGGAGAGCCTTCTCTGCTGTTGCCCCTGCCCTATGGAATACTCTCCCCCAAGAGGTGAGGTGGGCCCCTACCCTCCCAATTTTTCAGAGGGAATTGAAGACTTGGCTTTGCCAGTTTGCATGGGGTGAGGAAAGATACAATCGACCCTAGGGATGGCTGGCGCCTTGACAATGCTCCCTGAGTTTATTAACACCTAATTAAACATCAGCCTCTTGGAAGTATCATAAAGGAAAATAAAGGAAGTTTGTTTTTTAGTACATTTTAATTAATTAATTTTTAAAAATTTTAATTAATGTTTATTCTATTTTTACTGTAAACCACCCAGAGTCACCCCACAGTGAGATGGGCTGTGACAAATTTGAAATATAAATAAACAAACAAATAAATAAAAGCTCAGACCTGCCATCTACTACAATCTAATTTGAAATAGAATTTTCTCCTGGGACTGAAAGATTTTACATAACTATTAACAAGTATTTTGCATGACAATCAACTTCTACAATATTTAAGAAGAAATTGAGACATGGCTACCTGGATTATTTTCTTTAATGGTAACTAGGTAAAATAATCCTCTTGCTGATAATAAGTCTGACACCAGTGGAAAGAGTCTATCCATAACTTCTCTGCCATTTTTACCTCCAGCCCAGGCTGCCTCTATTCCATGACTTTGTATCTAGAACAAATAAAATATGGAAAATTCCATTTTACCCATTCAGAATTTTATAAGGAATCATCTTTTATAATGATTAATGAGAAGGAAATGTGTGTGTGTACAGATACAAACATGTAGAAATTTAAATAGTGTGTGTAATCCAAGGAGGCTATTCTTTTGCTGTACACATGGCAAGGTATCTTACGCTGGTGAGACCACTGGTTAGACCTGAATCAAGTTCTGGCCACCATATTTTAGGAAAGACAATGACCAAGTGACCCATTTCCAGAGGAGAGCAACCAAGATAGTAAGGTGACTGGAAGGAAAAAAAAATGAAGAACAGATGGAGGCACTGCATACAAGTAGTCCTTGATTTATAACTACAATCAGGACCGGGATTTCTGTCACTAAATGATGAGGTCATAAAGATGTCACATAACTGCATTGCTTAACGATGGCAATCCCAGCAGTCCTGGTTGCCGTTGTTAACTGAGAATCACGGGTCGTTAAGTGAGTACACACCCCAAGCCATTCCAGGCTTGGTCCCTCCCTCAGTAAGGTAAGGGACTGCCTCCAACTCCCTCCACCCACCTATCTCCCTCCATCTCTGCCCTTTTGGCCACCCTGAAGCCTGCCTTGTGGGGCAGCAACTGTGCGGCTCTGGGGCTGCTCGCCATGCCCTGGGAAGCCGCAGCCCCCTCGCCACCCTGCACTCTGAGACTGCTGCCCTGTGCGCTCTGCCACCCCAGCTGACCTTTGCTATTTTCTTCTACTGCTGATGAGGCATGCCTGGCCTGGCGGCTGGGCTGAGGCTGGGTTTCACGCTGCGAAGAAAAAAAAAAAACAAAAACCCTAGAGCTGCGTGTGCCAAAAAGCCGCTTTGTGCCCTGCTCCTGGGCTGGGCTGTGGCTTTGCACTGCAAGGGGGGAAACCTCCCCCCCCAACACACAAAAACAGCCCGAGCTGTACAGCACCAAAAAGCTGTCTCAGCCGCACACGTGGATCAGAACTGAAGTGAGTTTTGGTGTGCTGTGGCTCAGGGGCTGCTTTTTACTTTTTTTTTTTTTCCACAGTGCAAATGGCGTTTGCCTTGGGAAGCATCTTGCAGGAGTTGAATCCGCCTGGAGGTTGGCCTTTTAGGGACAGGCGCGCTCTCCTTGGATGGGGAGACAAAGAAGGTGGCGGTCCTTGCGGGAACAGAGTCCCACGTGGGAGGCTGCATTTGCTCTGCTGGCAAGCCTTGGTTGTGTGCTTGTTGGCTGCAAGGAACCCGAAGCCTGAACCCTCTTCGAGGTCTTTTTTCCAAATCAGAGGGTTGGATGAGGAGGAGGAAGCAAGGAACTTGCACTCCCATTCAGGTTTGCCTTGTGCCTTCTGGTCATCCTTTGGTAGCAGATATTTTTTAAGGCATAAGCATGAAACTGAGCAAACTCAGGGACGCAGTGAAGAACAGGAAGGCCTGGCGCAGTATGGTTCATGGGGTCACAAAGAGTCGGACATGACTTAATGACTGAACAACAACAAAAATTTTTAAGGCGAGAAGCCATTGCCTGCAGACTTACACTAATGAATGGGGGGGGGGGCACAGCACTGCTGCTTTTATCCTGGAAAAAAAGGACATGCCCCTGTGGTCATAAGTGCGGGAGGGTTGCCAAGTGCCTGAATTTTGATCACATGACTGCAGGGGCACTGCAACAGCTGTAACTTCAGGCACGAGTCATAAGTCCCTTCATTCAGCACTGCCATAACTTTGAACAGTGACTGAATGGTTGTAAGCCAAGGACTACCTGTATACTTAGCCTGGAGAAGACAAAACCGTGGGAAGACATAACACTGCTAAGGAACTGAAAGGTTATCATGTAGAAGTCGGGATAGATTAGTTCAAAGTTATTACAGAAGACAGGGCAAGGAAGAATAGGCTTAATAATAATATATATATTGACTGGACATTATGGATATTTAAGAATTGTTCTGCAATGTCAGTGTTTCTCAGGAGGTGGTAGACTCTTCTTTGGCTGTCAGATGCTACAGTAGTGGATTTCTTCAATGGACAGGGGGCTAGATTAGATAATCTCCAAGGTATATTCAATTATTACATTCTATGCTTCTATGATATTTGGATTAAGCCACAAGTATCAAGAAAAGAAAGATGGGAACAAGCGAAAGCATAAATTAACGATGGTAATGTTCTATTTATAGGTAACGATTTAAATACTAATCAATTTCCAACTCGTTGAATTTTTTCAATATGACATGTAGATTACTAATGATACCTTACAGAAGCAATATATTGATAATTGGAATTCTTAAATCTCATATGATCATACCTCATCAGAAGGGGTTACCACATAGGGTGGGTTAAATAACAGTAAATCCACTTTGCCATGTAATCGTGGCAACAATCCTGTTACCTAAACATAAATAAAAACATTAACAATTACATAACACATACAATTATCCGAGTTCTCTACAATAAATATTGAAAGATACAAGCTCCTTCTTATGGGTGCATAATCTAACTGAATGAAACAAAGGAAGTGGTAATAGGGAAGGAAAGAGAAAGCAGGTATTGGAGAGGTAGCACCATATTTTGCCAAGCATATAAAATCTAATGCAAGCTCATCTTATTTGCTGGGGGACGCGGTGGCGCAGCGGCTTAATGACGCTGAAAGTTGCCGGCCAGAAATGGTCGACGC